TGTAAGTCTGATAGGCTTGCCTTTGTGGGTAACATGACCTTTCTCTCTGGCTGCCCTTAGTATTTTCTCCTTCGTTTCAACCCTGGTGAATCTAACGATTATGTGCCTTGGGGTTGCTCTTCTTGAGGAATATCTTTGTGGTGTTCTCTGTATTACCTGGGGTTGAATGTTGACCTGCTTTGCTAGTTTAGGAAAATTTTCCTGAATAATATCCTGAAGGGTATTTTCCAGCTTGGATTCATTCTCTCTGTCGCATTCAGGTACACCTATCAAACGTAAATTTGGTCTTTTCACATAGTCCCACATTTCTTGGAGACTTTGCTCATTCCTTTTTATCCTTTTTTCTCTAATCTTTTCTTCACGTTTTATTTCATTAAGTTGGACTTTGACCTCTGCTATCCCTTCTTCTGCTTGAACAATTCGAGTGTTTAAACCTGTGCATACTTCTCGGAGTTCCTGTATTGTATTCTTCAGTTCCATTAATTCACTCATACTCCTCTCTAAGTTGTCTATTCTCAATAGGATTTCATCAAGCCTTTTTTCAAAGTTCCTAGTTTCTTTACGTTGGGCTACAACATGTTCTTTTAACTCACCAAAGTTTGTTATTATCCATTCCTTGAAGAGTGATTCTGTCATCAGGATGCGCTCGTTCTCCATCAAGCCTTGTTCCATTGTTGATGTGGAACTGTGATCATCTTTAGAGGGAGAGGCGTTCTGACTTTGAGTATTCTCAGCTTTTTTACACTGGTTTCTTCCCGTCATTGTAAATTTATCCTCCTGTCGTCTTTGAAATGACCAACTTTCAGATTAGGTCTCTTGAGTGGGCATCCAGGTTGTTAGTTCCCAGGGCCAGAGCAGCGGCGTTAAAACTGATGGTGCTTTTCTGCCCAGGATTCTCCTGTCTGGCTTCCTTCTTGTGTCCGTAGTAGGCGACTCTGCCTTCCCAGGACTCCAAACCTCGGTCAGAAGGGGAACCCGTCCCTTTTACTCTGCGCAGAGCGCTGCCGCGCCGAGGTGCCGTCACTGCCGCTGCGCCGGGCTCTGGTGTTGTGCTGGGGGCCCGTGTGGGTCCTCCAAATGTGTTTACTTTGCTCCGAGAGCTGCTGCGCGAGGTGCGGGCGGAACCGCTGCGCCGGCCACGAGAGTCACGCTGGCCACCCGTGTGTTTCCTCCACTGGGGGATCTTCTGCTCTGTGAGCAGCCAGACTTTCTCTGAAAGTGTGGCGTCCTCTAGTTCTTCACGCCTTCCCTGAGAGCTGCAATCTCGGGATGTTAGCGATCGGCCATCTTGGATCGTTCTCATTTGCTGTTTTTATAGTCTCATAAAAAAAAGAGTTTAAAATAGCTGAGCATGGTGGCACATTCCTGTATTCCTAGCCACTTGAGGCTGACATGGGAGGATCTGTTGAGCCCAAGAATTTGAGATTACAGTGAGCAAAGACCGCACTACTGTAGCAACAGAGTGAGACCTGTGCAACAGAATGAGATACTGTGTAAAAAAAGTAAAAAACATTTAAAAAATTAAAAATAATAAAGAAAGATGATATGGAAATTTTTGGGTGATAATTGTCAAATAAAATGGATATTTCTATAAAAGTATGCACTAGAAGTTTATTCTTCTTTTTAGTAAAAACACTTAGGACAGTACCCAGATCCTGCTGGCTTTTGTTTGGTTCCCTCTTTGGTTTTTTGTTACAAAACTGTAAGTCCAGAGGAAGCACTTTATCATTTGGTTTAATCACTTTCCTAGAAAGGATGCTGCCCAGAGCTGGGGCTCCCAGTGAGTGACCGAGATTATTCTAGAGACTTATAGGAATTAAAAATGCGCTACAGAAGCAAAAACAAAACAACACAACCCTTAATTTTAATGGTCAGACATGAGCATTTTTAATACAATGGATATATACTTCTATAACTTATTCTACTAAGGTAGGCTAATTCCTGTTTATCTTTCTTTCATTTATCTATCTGTATGTTCCCCCAACACATAGGTATCCATAAGTCATTTTACCACCTTCAGTATGGTTCTTTTTTAGGCACCCTTCTGTGCTCTTCCCGAGAGAGGGGCTTAGGACTAAACCTTCTCTTGGTCCATCCCCCACCATTTCTGTTTTTTTATTTTCTTTTTCTCTGAATGTTTGCCTGCCCGAGAACTGCCAGCTGCACCCATCCAAATCTACAAATCTTCCTCTAGACTTTGGAAGACAGAAAAGTAGCTCAAATCTTCCTCTAGACTTTGGGAGACAGAAAAGTAGCTCCTACTTCAAAAGGTTAGAATCCTCAGACATGGCACTTTCAAGGAAAAGTGTTGTTTACCTGAGTGATAACAATTTCTGGAAGAGAGTTCATCACTAGCCTGGGTGTAGTTGCTGTGACTCTGTCTGTCCTGGCAATTTCTAATCTGGTCCTGCCTGTACGTTGCAGAGTGCTCCACGTTGCTCCATTCGCCCACCTTGGATTCCCAAAGAGCTGGGATTACAGGCATGGGCCATTGCTCCCAGCCATGTTGATATGCTCCTAATTGGTGATTTAACCTATATCACTTGGCTACGGTGGTGTGAGACCTTGAAGAAAAGCCTTTCATGGGATTGCAGTTCGTTCTGTCCTGCTATGATTGCTTGTCTGTTTCTGTGGCTTCTAGTAGCTCTTTTCCTTGCTGGAGTAAGAGGTTTCCTCTTTTGCTACTTCTACTTGCTACTTTAAAAAATAAATAAATAAATAGAGGTCACTCTTTACTTCTACAAACAAGAAATAGAGGAGAGAGAGCTCAGGAGATTGAGAAATAGAGAATTTCCCTTAACATTCATTCATTTTATTTCAGAAATCTCAGTCACCTCTGGGTCCATTTGTTCGTACTCTCTTTCTGCTGTCTCTTCTAAGGTATTAGCTTATACAGGTTTCAGCAAAGAACTTGGGAACCCAAAAGTCAATAGAACTCAAAGAATTGTCAATGCATTTATGTACAAAAACCAATCTCAATCAACCTCAAATGAACAGGGCTAACACTTGTCTGTAAAGAAAAGCTATTTTAACTGTTTGCCAAATTATAAGTCTATGAGTCATTTTATTTGCCATCTTCACAGATACCATGTTATTAAAGTTATTCACCTACTGGGAATATTTTGAAACAATTTATTCTCTCATGGGAAATTATGAAAAATTTAGAATGGCACATTTTAACTACTGAATATTAATGAAACCTTTCTGACCTACTAGCAAAAGAATCAAATCCCTGTTGCAATTAAGGAGTTGGACTAGCCTTTTTCATATGCACCAGTAATTTCTTCACTGTGGTATTCATTTTCACGTCAGGATTTAGACAGGATTGTAACGAGATCAGTGCAAGTAGAACTACGTACTCTGTAAGTGTGCATAAATGTGCCCATCTTTGGCTTTATCAGAACTGACTGTAGAGTTTGCATTTGAGATGAATGAGCTCAGAGTCCTTCATTCCATTTGTGAAACATACCATTATAGGGTGTTATTTTCTGTTATAAGTGTCAGTTAAGCTGATGGTAAAATTGAGTTGACTCAAGCCTTGACTTAGCTATGACATGTCAAATGTCATAACTTGGGAGCCCAATGAGTGGATTAGAATTATATTGATTATATTAAGACGAGTAGTTTGGGAACCAGGAAACTTGGATTTTAGTTCTATGTTTACTTTTTAAAGTTTTTTTTTTAAGGGGATGAGTAATCGTTCCTTAATTTTTTTATATGTTGGAGACAGAGTCTTACTCTATCCCCCAGGATGGAGTGCAGTGGCATGATCTCTCAGTTCACTGCATCCTCCACTTCCAGTGTTCAAGCGTCCTCATGCCTCAGCTTCCCGAGTAGTTGGGATTACAGGTGCCTGCCACCACTCTCAGCTAATTTTTGTATTTTTAATAGAGATGAGGTTTCACCATGTTGGCCAGGCTGGTCTCAAACTCCTGACCTCAGATGATCCACCAGCCTCAGCCTTCCAAAGTGCTGAGATTACAGGCATGAACCACCGCACCTGGCCCCTTTATTCTTTTTTTTTTCTGGTTTTATTATTAATTGTCACATAGTAATTGCACATACTTATGGGGGACAGCATGATATTCCAATACGTGATACTAAGGGTTATGATCAAATCAGGGCAATTAGCATATCATCATATACTATTAATAACAAAATTGGGCAACTGTGTTTGGGCTGTGTGTGTGTGTGTGCATGCAGGCGTGTTTATTTAAAAAGTGGTATAAGGTTCTACAGTCTGAATATTGGTGTCCCCTCAGGTTCATATGTTGGAACCTAATACCCAATGTGATATTATTAAGAGCTGGCACATTTTGGGAGGTGATTAAGTTATGAGGGCTCAGCCCTTATGAAAGGGATTAGTGCCCTTACAAAAGAGGATGAAGGGAGCTGCCTTGAACCTTTTATCCTGTGAGGACACAGCAACAAGGTACCATTTTTGAGGCAGAGATCTGGCCCTCTCCAGACACTGGATCTGCTGGTGCTTTGATCTCAGATTTCCCAGCCTCCAGAATTGTGAGTACTAAATCCCTGTTGTTCATAAATTACCCAGTATAATATATTTTGTTACAACAGCAGGAACAGACTAAGACACAAGGTAAGAAGTTTAACATAGCTGAAACATTGCCAGTGTTGTGAACAGGGGATAGAAGATAGCACTGGACGAGTGGGTCAGATCATGAAGGATATTATATGCCGTGCTGAGGAAATTGAATTTGATTCTATAGGTACTAGGGACACTCATTTTTAAAAACGTCCTAGTTTTAAATAACATTAGACTAACTTAGACTTATATAAGTCTAACTTACATAAGAGATCAAAAATAGTATAGAATCCCTATGAGTATACTATTTACCCAGCTTTCTCTAATTTCCACATTATACATAATCACGTTATAGTAGGTAAAACAAAGGAATTAACCTTGGTATAGTACCTGAATGCCTAATAACTAAACTACGGACTTTATTCAGAGTCTCAGCAGTTCTTTTCTCTTCCAGGATCCAATCCAGGATATCGGATTGAACTGTCAGGTCTCCTTCCTATTCTCTAACCTGTGACAGTTTTTGAGCCTTTTCATGGCTTTCTTCGCCTTCAAATGTTTGAAAAGTACTGGCCAGGTGTGTGGTAGCATGCTCTTCGGTTTAGTTTTGTCTGAAGTTTTCTCATGATTAGACTGAAGTTATGATTTATGTTAGTCTGTACTTGCGTTACCGTAAAGGAATACCTGACACTGGGTAATTTATAATGAAAAGAGGTTAAATGGGCACACAGTTCTGCAGGCTGTACAGGAAGCATGTATTTTGGTGAGGCCTCAGGAAGCTATTACTCATGACAGAAGGTGAAGTGGGAGCTTGCATGTCACATGGCAAAGCAGGAGCAAGAGAGAAAGACTGAGGGGGGAGGTGCGACACACTTTTAAATGACCAGGTTGTGTGAGAACTTGGCTATCATGCAGACAGAACCAAGTCATGAGGGATCTGCGTTCCCTCAGGCCCCCACCTCCAGTGTTGGGGATTACAATTCAACATGAGATTTGGGCAAGGACATGTATCCAAATACATCATGATTTTTTTGGCAAGAATATGACATAGGTGATTTGCCCTACTCAGTGTATCATATCAAGGTACTTAACATTGATGTGCTTATTTTTCATTTTATTCTTTTTATTTTCGAGGTGAGGTCTGGCTCTGTCTCCCAGGCTGCAGTGCAGTGGTACAATCCTGGCTCACTTCAACCTCTGCCTCCCGGACTCAAACCATCCTCTCACCTCAGCCTCCTGAGTAGCTGGGACTGCAGGCATGGGCCACCATGGTTGGCTAATTTTTGTATTGTTCGTAGAGATGAAGTTTCACCATGTTGCCTAGGCTGGACTCGAACTCGTGAGTTCAAGCCATTCACCCACCTTGGATTCCCAAAGAGTTGGGATTACAGGCATGAGCCATTGCTCCCAGCCATGTTGATATGCTTATAATTGGTGATATTAACCTAGATCACTTGGCTAAGGTGGTATATGTCAGCTGTATCCACTGCAAAATGATTTTTTTCCCTTTGTAATTGCTAAATATTTTTGGGGGGACATTCTTTGACACTATATACGTTTTCTTTTTCTCCTTAATTTTTTGCCCACTAGTTTTAGCATTTACTCATGGATCTTGCCTGCAGCCATTATTACTGTCCTGTTTCAGTGGTGATTTTCTATATGCATCATTTCTTCTATGTTTATTAATTGGGGTTCTCCTGTAAGGCAGAGCCACTGAATTATTTTGAGGAACGACAGAATTACTCCAATGGTAACATGGATGATAGATTAGAAGAAAGCAAGACTGGAATTAGAAAGACTACAAATTAGGAGACTGTTGAAATAATTTAAGTGAGATAAGAAGCACCTGAACTTAGACAGGGGCAAGAGGGATAGGTGGTTCATATGAGAAATATTTAAGAGGTAGAATCAAGAGAACATAGTGATTCATTATATGTGAGGAAGCAAAGCAGGCATTAAAGATAGCACCCAGGCTTCTGTCTTGGAGATAAGAAATATTAGAGGAAAAACTAGTTTTGGGAGAAGACAGCTAAGATGAATTCAGCTGTGGACAATGGAGAGTCAAGGTACCTCCACAGAACAGGGGGAATTATTTAAGAAGCTGGTCATACAGGGCTGGAGCTTGGAAGAAAGGTCTGACTTAGAATCACAGATGTGTAAATTATCAGTGGGTAGGCAGAAGTTGGGATCATGGAAATGCATGAAGTTGTCCAGGAAAAATACGTAGAGACAGAGAAGTCATAGCAAGCAAAGAAACACCAACATTCAAAGGCAGGAAGAGGAAAAGGAGCTCACACAGATAGAATGATGGTATGTACCTAGAACAGTAGAAAGAAAACTAACATGTTGAGATAATGTAAATAAGCCAAGTAAGAAACAATCTCATGAAGAGAGAATGTTCATCAGCATCCAGTGTTACAGATGAGTCAAGTAAGGAAAAGACAGATGCTGTGGCAACTGTGTGTTTGTCTGTGAACTTAGAGCAATTTCAGTGTAGTGGTGAGGCCAAGTCCTGTAGATTCCTATGGGAAGTAAAGAAGAGACTGTGTGTATAGACAATATTATCAGTGGGTTTGAAGGAACCGAGAAAGAGGTAAGATGGTAGGAGGGAAAAAGGCCCAAGTTAGGAGGTCCTTGTTACATACTCTCCCCAGTCATGCTCATAAACTATGGTTATAAGTATATAATTTGGTAAGCACATGTCTTAAAGTTTTTTATGCTGCTATAACAGAACACCACAGACTGGGTAATTTATATTAAAAAAATTATTTCTTACAGTTCTGGAGATTGGGAAATCCAAGGACAAAGGGCTGCATCTGGAGAGGGCCTTTGTGCTGCCATCCCACGGTGGAAGGTAAAAGGGCAGGAGAGCAAGAGAGAGCCCAGTTGGTTTTGATATCAACACACTATGGAGATAAACACACTCCAGTGATCCATTCATAAAGGCTCCACCCACATTGCCTAATCACCTCTTAATGGTCCCACTTCTTTATGCCATCACAATGGCAAGTAAATTTCAACATGAGTTTTGGACATTCAAACCATAGCAGTAAGTATAGTATTTATTCTTTATCATTAGCCTAGATATTTCCCCTTATTTCTCCAAGTGCTTTATATTAAGGCATGCACAATGTTATCTGGTGGTATTCTAGGTAATTTGTCATTATGTTGTCAAAGAATGTGCTTCACCTGCTTGGTGCAGAATCACTTACAAGCATTTTATCTCAATACTGTTATATCTCAATTTAGCTTGTTTGGTTGGATCGAGCATTTGGTGAAGGTCTCAGAGTGCTCAGTAGATGGGTCAATTTGCTTTGCTTGATCAGGCTCCCAAGTGCCCCCCAGACCTCAGCCTTACAAATGCCTCATTATCAGCCAAACAGAGAGCAAGGTGAAAGGCGAGAAGATAGCTCAGCTCCAATCTATCTCCATGAGGGGAAAACAATTCAAAACACATGCCCTGCTCATACGGGAGTGAGAGTGTTATCTTTGTATAACATTACTCAACATGGAGGTCACATTTTCCTTAGTAAACAAAACTACTTCTTTTATTCTGTCTGGAAAGAAAAAAATATTTGCCTCTAGAACATCCTTTGAGCAAATAAAAGCTGGAGTATAATTCATTTGAGCTAAAAGTACAAGAGATTCTGGAGGCTGAATTTGGGCTTGTAACTGTTTATTTACATTTATAATGGACATCTTTTTACTGTGAAAACAACTTAATAGTAGTATAGAATGTTAAAAAAACAAGTAAGAAAAGCACTCCTAATACCATTAACACAGTTAGTATCCTTTTTATTCCGTTTCTTTCTATATGCATTCATATTTTTACATAATTACAATTGTATAAAATACACAGTTGCATCCTTGGGTTTTCACTGACTCATGAGCATTGCTCTGAGTTGCAATGTAGTCTTCATAATGATTCTTTTTATGACTGTATACTATTCAGTGAATACATGGAATGGATGTGTCATCAGTTAGTTAAGCACTCCTCCATGGTAGAACATTTAGTTTGCTTCTAATTCATCACTATCATAAACAAAGCCATATTGAAAAATGTCTGCTGTATTTTCTCACCTGTATTTTGTATTATTCTCTTAAGATATATTTCAAAAGCAAGGTTAGTGAGTCATAGAGTTCACATTTAAGCTCCTTCTATATGTTTTTACATTGCCTTGTAAAGACTTTACTGATTATGTCACCAATTAAGGTTTGCTTAGTGAACGTGAGATAGGAGTTTGGCAGTAACAGTTTCACCAGGTACAGATCACAAAGAGCCCACTGATAAAACAGGGTGTGGTAAAGAAGCCAGCCAAGGCTGGGCTCATGCCTGTAATCCCAGAACTTTGGGAGGCCAAGGAGGGTGGATGGCTTGAGGTCAGGAGTTCAAGACAGCCTGGCCAATATGGTGAAACCCTGTCTCTACCAAAAAAATAAAAAAAATTAGCCAGGTGTGGTGGCATGCAGCTGTAGTCTCAGCTACTTGGGAGGCTGAGGTGGGAGAACTGCTTGAACCCAGGAGGCAGAGGTTGAAGTGACCCAAGATCTCACCACTGCACTCCAGCCTGGGAAATAGAGTGACACCCTGTCTCAAAAAAAAAAAAAGAAGCCAGCCAAAACCAAGATAACCAAGATGGCAACAAAAGCATCTCTTATTGTCCTCACTGCTCATTTTACATGAATTATGATATATTAGCATACGAAAGGAAATTCTCACCAGCACCATAATGATTTATAAGTGCCATGGCAACATCGAGAAGTGACCCTATATGGTCTGAAATGTAGATGAAGCCTCAGTTCTGGGAATTCCCCACCTCTTTCCTAGAAGACTCATGAATAATCTGCTCCTAGTTTAGCACATGATCAAGAAATAACAATAAAAACAGCCAACCAGCCGCCCTTAGGCTGCTCTGCCTGTGAAGTAGCCACTCTTTTATTCGCTTTCATTCTTTACTTTCTTAATAAACTTGCTTTTACTTTACTCTATTGGCTGATTCATGAATTTTTTCCTACATGAAGCCAAGAATCCCCTTGGCCTCCCAGGCTGAACCCCAATTTTTTGCTGTGCCCTGTGACAGATGGGAATCCAAGAAGCCAGAATAGGGTCAAGTGTGATGGGTCTACTCATGTGGGAAGAGGTGGAAGGGCACTGAGTTCTTTCCAGGGATTTGCTGGTAACAAAACTTAGTAAAGAGGAAATTCTGTTGTGAAATGCAAGCCAGAGGTAGAATTCCATGTTGAGGAACAAGTGGAGATTGAAAGTCATAAAAAGGGTCAAAAGTCTTACAGACTCTTAAAAGATTGAAGAGACAATGGGGATGGAGAAGCCAAAAGGGGTGTGAAATACTAGGCAATTTCAGCCAAAAGTTTTGACATGTGAATTGGTTACAGACTGGGCATGTATGGAACTGACACACTGGGGTATTTCAGACATGGACAGTAACACTGGAGTTGGCAAGAATTAAAACTCACTTAGTTTTCACTCTGTTGGGTGCTGTCTTAAGCTTTTCATAGATTCTTTCATTTAAGGATCATGACATTCACAGGTGCTATTATAATTCCCATTTTCTTTCTTTTCTTTTTTTTTTTGAGATGCAGTTTCGCTCATGTCACCCAGGCTGGAGTGCAATGGTGTGATCTTGGCTCACTGCAAGCTCTGCCTCCTGGGTTCAGGCAATTCTCATACCTCAGCCTCCCGAGTAGCTGGGATTACAGGTACGCGCCACCATGCCCAGCTAATTTTTTGTATTTTTAGTAGAGACGGGGTTTCACCATGTTGACCAGGATGGTCTCGATCTCTTGACCTCGTGATCCACCCGCCTTGGCCTCCCAAAGTGCTGGGATTACAGGCATGAGCCACCGCGCCCGGCGATTCCCATTTTCAAATGAGAACACCAATGCTTAGAGATGAGTAGCCAAGTGACTTTCCTAAGGTGACACAGTGGTCAGCTGTGGAGCTGATTCAAATTCAGGCCCTCTGGCACCTGACTTCTGCTCCACTGTGCTCTCTGCTCTGCCGGAGTTTCTTACTTTGTGAATGCAGTGTGGGTAAAAAATACTTCATTCATCTTTTAATTTGCATTTCTCTGGTTTTTAGTCTTGTTTAATATTTGAGTAAGACACTTTTAACATAAGTTTGAGACATGGATGATAGGATCATTTACACATTTCAAAAATGTACCCATGGACAAGGAAGTGAACATGTTCTATATTAGTACTGAGACTGCATGAAACTGAGTGAAGACATCCAATTTTTCAAAATTGTTATTATGTTTTAGATACAGGGTCTTGCTTTGTCACTCAGTCCAGAGTTCAGTGGCAAAATCATAGCTTCTTGCAGCCTCAAACTCTGAGGCCCAAGTTATCCTCCTGCCTCAGACTTCTGAGTAGCTAGGAGTACAGGTGCACACCACAATGCCCAGTGAATTAAAAAGTTTTATTTGTATAGATGGGGGCTCACTATGTTTCCCAGGCTGGTCTTGAACTCAAGGCCTCAGTCGTCCCTGCCTCAGCCTCCTGAAGTGTTGGGATTAAAGGTGTAAGCCACTGTGCCCGGTCTCAATTTTTAAATTCAAGAAGGTTTGCAACACTGATACTTCTTAGATTATGGCTATTACTTATTGTAAAAATTCCATCTTTGAAATAAAGGAGAACACAATGATGGCTTATTATTTCATGTGTCAGGAGCCATATCTCATTGTGCCTGGAACCATATCTCTTCAAATGTAATCATTATAGTTAAAAAATTGTCTTCATGGTAGAGTGAGCTAAGAATGAAATCAGCCTCCTCTAGAAGGTTGTGGATGTTCTGGGCAGAAATGCCATACCCAAGCTCCTGGGTTGTCATGTTCCTAGTCCTGTTTTCCAACAGAAATTCTGAGGAAGATGCTTCAGTGGCTTGGATAATCTTTGGTTTCAAAATGCCTTATACATTTATTTTTTCTTTTTAATCAAAAGCCTTTCTTTATGTAACATTGTGATTAGGTTAATGCTGAAAGGACTTTTGGTTTCAGCTTCTATATCTGAAGAACTTGGAAGTTGTCACTCCCATTTCACAACCATAAAGATCTAGTCAGATCGAAAATGAATGACTTTTCTTGGACTTATTGCAGAATGAGGTTACAGGGCAAATCACTACCCTGAAATCTGGGGAGACAAGCCCCTACAGAGAGACACAGCTAACAGCTACCTACCTAAAATGGAAACTTCTGGAGTTATAAACTATAATGCTTTGGTGTTACATTGGAAAATTGTTGGAAGTTGAATGTGGATTAGCATGGGGGTGATTTACTTCATAGGGAGTGCAGTCTTAGGGTGACTTCCACAATTCCATTGGTTTTACTTCCAAGAACCTTACTAGGTTTTCATGATGAATATCAGAAAAATCTTTTTGTAACTCTGGCAAGGAAAGAGTAATCATGGTCAAATATACCCATAGTCTTCTTAACAAATACCTACTCTCCAGAGTTAAAAATTTTGCCATGGCATTGTTGCACCCAGAAGAGACCAATTCCTTTCTCTTCAACCCTCCCTAGCCTTCCTGACTCAACCAATGGGAAAAACAGACAACTGTTGTCAGGGCTTCAAGAAAATAGACTATAAATGACACAGCCAAGGAAAGCAGGGAGAAAAAAAGCTATACTGTGATGAAACACTTGTGAAGGTCTCAGCACTGAGTCACAGGTCCACGAAAATATTGGGAATTAATCAGACTGTAGAACACTCCTTCTTTCATTCATCTTACCACCACACCAGCAGAGCTTCAATATAATAACAGCAGATTACAGCCAAAACACTGCAAGGTGTATACTCTATCTAAGGAGGAATCCTTAGGGAAGCCTAAAATCAAGAGGGGAGACACCAACAAGGACACTTGGGGAAATTTGAAGTCTCTAGCATAGCTGCAGCAAACATTAAAGATAGCCTAATTCTCACCCAGATGACCACAAATCTTCACACTAAAGACTCATTTAGCTCAGTTCTTATTACCTAATACAACACATCTGTCCTTCGGCATAAAATTATAAGGCATACTAAAAAGCAAGAAAAACTTCTAAAGATAAAATACTACCACCAGAAGCAGATTCAACTATAATGCACATTTTTGAATTATTAGGTAGGAAATTTAAAATAATTATAATTAATGAGCTAAGGGCTCTGATATAAAATGAGCTAAGGGTTCTAGACAACATACCAAAATAGGTGACTAATATAAGTAGAGTTGGAGACTCTGAGAAAGAATCAAAAGGAAATACCAGAAATAAAAACAACTGTAACAGAATGAAGAAGACTGGATACAGCCAAAAACAGTCAGTGAGCCTAAGGTTTGTCCATAGGCACTTCCCAAACTGAGATGCAAAGAGGAAAAAATAAAAATAAAAAACAACAAACAACAAAACAGAAGAGTAAGAACTGAGGGACAATTTCATAAGGTGTAATTTATGTGTAATTTGAATATCAAAAGAATAAAAGGAACAGAACAGAAAAATGTTTGAAGTAATAATGGCTGAGAACTTTCCAAAATAAGTGACAGACTCCAAACGACAGATCTGGGAAGTTCAGGGAACACCAAACAGATTAAATGACCAAAAAACACTTACCTAGGCATATCATATTTATATTGCAGATAACCAAAGATGAAGAGAAAGTCTCCAAGAAGCTGATATGTAAGAGCGGAGGGCCATGAAGCATAGAAAAACAAGGATAAGAATTATATCAAACTTCTAATCAGAAATCATGCAAGCAAGAAGAGAATGGAATGAAATATTTGAAGAGTTGTTTGAAAAAACTCACCCATCTAGAATTTTATTTTTATTTTTTTCCAAGCCAGACTGTATCCAGCTTTATTAAATATAATTTCCACAAGCAGTCATGGTATTTCAGGCAGGACATGGCCAGACATTCGTTAAAAATATACAACTTTCAAACTGCCTTCTTCAATGGACTACTGAAAATCAAAAAGCCACTATAAAACCCAATGAAGTCTTCATCTGATGCTCTGAACAGGGAAAATTTAGAGTAAGGGTTGACATTTCACATATAGCATGTGGTTTAACAACTTTTCACAAGCCAACCTGGACTTTCAGGAAGTGAAATGAAAATAGCAGAAGTGATCTGAAGATCCATAATCTAGAAACGGAAACACTGCTCTTTTGAGGAGTACCATGTCAGTGGCATCACTGGAAAGTTCAGATTGCCTGACACTGGCAACCAATTGTTGGGGGTCAGGTCCCAACAGATGTCTGGGTTTAAGGGAGTTAATTCTATGCCGGAAGGTGGAAAGGAAGAAGAGGACATAAAAACAAATTTGTTTTTCCATACCACAAGGCTTTTGTGCCAAGGTGGCCATGTGTGTCAAAGTCAGGGAATCCTTCCTACTGGGAGCCAAGAGGAAGTCTTTCAAAACTAGAAGGGAAAGGTGCTTTGCCCACATCAATCCAGCTTTGGAGACATTGTATTAGTGACATATTCCCCTTCCCCCCAAAACAGCAAAGTGTTCTGCATGCTAACAACTTAGCTTAAAAAGATAGTAAAACAAAATTCTGCATTTTTAGAAAACTTGATACAATAGTACTTCAAACCATACAGTAATCAGAAGTACCTAGTTATCAAAAATGCAGACACTTCACTTGGCATCTCCAGCACCTTCAGCTTTCTGTGCCTGGTCTGTTTGGCATCTCCATTTTATGCAGGGTTATTTCCCTCTTTGCCAGCATCAGCTACCCACCCCCCACACCGTTTTTCTTTTCTTTGAGATAGAGTCTTGCTCTGTTGCCCAAGCTGGAGTGCAGTGGTGCGATCTTGGCTAACTGCAACTTTTGCCTCTCGGGTTCAAGTGATTCTCCTGCCTTAGCCTCCCTAGCAGCTGGGGTTACAGGCATGTGCCACCATGTCTAGCTAAGTTTTGTATTTTCAGTAGACACAGAGTTTCATCATGTTGGCCAGGCTGGTCTCAAACTCCTGATCTTAAGTGATCCACTGGCCTTGGCCTCCCAAAGTGCTGGGGTTATGGGTATGAGCCACCATGCCCAGGTCCCTTTTTCCCTCTGGGTACCTTCTCTCCTTTCTTCACAGGGGCCTTTTTAGGCTTGGGCTCTGGCTTTGGAGGAGCAGGTTTAGCAGACAGCCTCATGGACTACATCTTCTCTGTAATTTGTCCTTCACCTGGGCTTTATCTCTAGCATCTCCTTTAGCCTTTCTCTTGGGAATGGTGGCAGCCATGGTGGTGGGACATAGGTGCTGGGGCAGGATGCAGCAGGCTTTGGTCAGTCCACTGGTGGTTCTTGCCTCTTCTTATTCACGCTGCTTCCAGAATTTTATATTCAGCAAAATTATTCTTCTAAAATGAAGGAGAAATACTTTCTTGGACCAATAAAAGCTGAAAAAAAATTTTACCACCAGATATTCCTTGCAAGAAATGTTACAAGAAGTTTTCAGGCAGAAGGAAAATGATATAGGCAAGAAAATTGGATCTATATAAAGAATGGAAGGGTGTTGGTAAAGAAATAAACAAAGGTAAAATAAAATGATTTCTTTCTTATTCTTAATTGATCTAAAAGATAACTGTTTGAAGTAATAATAGTAACAGTGTATTGGGTGGTGATTAGCATATAGATAATTAAAATGAATGACTTCAATGTCACAAGTACTGCAGAGAAATTGGAGCTGGGACTTGAGCCTGGGAAGTGGAGGTTGCAGCAAGCCGAGATTGCACCACTGTACTTCAGCCTGGGCGACAGAGTGCAGACTCTGTCTCAAAAAAACGAACAAGAAAACACACCCCCCCAAAAAAGTAACAGATTTAATCTTCTGATTCATACTTCCTGTTGGTATAATATCAGTTAATTTATTTACTAAGGAGGGTAAATGAGTCATCTTAAAAATGGATGATTCTTGAAGAGGCAGATCCAAGATGGTCAAATAGGAACAGTTCTGGAGTGCAGTTCTCAGTGAAAACAATGCAGAGGGTGAGTGATCACCACATTTCCAAACGAGTTATTACTGCCCACAGACCAGGAGATTCCTCGCCTGAAAAGCACCACGAGTTTCCAGCATGACTGTTTCAGCCGGTGCAGTGGGTCTCCACACAAAATCTCACACAAATTTGGGTGGCTGTTTCAACTGGTGCCTGGAACGCCTGGGAGATAGAGCTGCCCATTCAACTGAAAAAAGGGGAGCTGAAACAGGGAGCCAGGTGATCTGCCTCAGCAGGTTCTACTTCCACAAAGACCAGCAATCTGAAACACTCTGGATTGAGAGTTTCACAGCAAGAGCAGCTGGACCCAGGACGGTCCAGCTCTGTGGGGGGAAGGGCATCCACTATTACCAAGGCAGTCCACCACTACCGAGGCAGCAGTCTGCCATTACCAAGGCAATCTGCCATTACAGAGGCAGTCCACCATTACTGAGGCAGACTGCCATTACTGAGGCAGTTCTAACTATACCTCTATTAAAAACAAAACCACAGGGAAGTTCACACAGCAGCTGAGCAGAGCCCACAGCAGCTCAGCAATGCCTCTACTGGCAGACTGTGACTAGGCTACCTCCTTGCTGGGCAGAGCATCTCTGAAAAAAGGCAGCAGTACATCAGGAACTTATAAATAAAGCCACACCTTCCTAGGACAGAGCACTTGGGAAAAAAAGGCAGTTATGAGTTCCACTGCAGCAGACTAAAATGTACCTGCCCAGCAGCTCTGAATGAAACAATGGAGCTCACGGCTCAGCACTTGATATCCTGTAAGGGCCAGACTATCTCCTCAATCAGCTCCCTGACCCCTATATATCCAAAAAGACACCTCATAAAGGAGAGCTCAGGCTGACATCTGGTGGGTATCCTTCTGGGATGAAGATAATAGAAGAAGAAACTGGCAGAAACTCTTACCATTCTGCACCTGCCTCAGGTGATCCCCAGGCAAGCAGGGTCTGGAGTGGACCTCCAGCAGTCCTACAGCAGAGAGGCCTGACTGTTAGAAGTAAAACTAAAAATCAGAAAGAAATAATTCATCAACAAAAAGGATATCCACTCAGAGATGCCATCTGGAAGTCACCAACTACAAAGACCACAGTTAGATAAATCCACAAAGATGGAAAGAAACCAGCACACAAAGGTTAAAAACACCAAAAACCAGAACATCTCTCCTCCCCCAAGGGATCACAACTCCTCACCAGCAAGGGAACAAAGCTGGATGGAGAATGAGTCTGATGAATGGGCAGAAACAGGCTTCAGAAGGTGGGTAATAACAAACTTCTCTGATCTAAAAGAACAAGTTCTAACCAAATGCAAAGAAACTAAGAATCTTGAAAAAAGGTTTGACGAAATGCTAATGAGAATAAACATCTTAGAGAAGAATATAAATGACTTGATGGAGCTGAAAAACAAAACGAGAACTTCACAAAATATACACAAGTTTCAATAGCTGAATCAACCAAGCAGAAGAAAGGATATCAGAGATTGGAGATCAGCTCAATGAAATAAAACGAGAAGTCAAAATTAGAGGAAAAAAGAACAAAACCTCCAAGAAATATGGGATTTTATGAAAAGGCCTAATCTATGTTTGATAAGTGTACCTGAATGTGACAGAGAGAATGAATCCAAGCTGGAAAACACTCTTCAGGATACTATCCAGGAGAACTTCCCCAACCTAGCAAGGTAGGCCAATATTCAAGTCCAGGAAATATAGAGAACACCACAAAGATATTCCTCAAGAAGAGCAACCCCCAAGGCATATAATCATCAGATTCATGAGGGTTGAAATGAAGGAAAAAATGCTAACAGCAGCCAGAGAGAAAGGTCGGGTTACCCACAAAGGGAAACCCATCAGACTCACAATGGATCTCTTGGCCAAAACCCTACAAGCCAGAAGAGAGTGGGGGCCAATATTCAATATCCTTAAAGAAAAGAACTTTCAGTCTAGAATTTCATATCCAGCCAAACTAAGCTTCATAAGTGAAGGAGAAATAAAATCCTTTACAGACAAGCAATGGCTGAGAGATTTCATCACCACCACGCCTGCCTTACAAGAGCTCCTGAAAGAAGCAGTACACATAGAAAGGAACAACCAGTACCAGCCACTCCATAAACATACCAAATGGTAAAGACCATTGATACAATGAAGAAACAACACAACAAACAAGAATCTCTGGGACACATTTAAAGCAGTGTGCAGAGGAAAATTTATAGCAATAAATGCCCACATGAGAAACAACAAGAGATCTAAAATTGGCACCCTATCATCAAAATTGAAAGAGCTAGCAAAAGACAAGAAATAACTAAGCTCAGAGCAGAACTGAAGGAGATAGAGAGATTTAAAAAAACATTCAAAAATCAATAAATCCAGGAGCTGTTTTTTTTTAAAGATCAACAAAATAGACTGCTAGCCAGATTAACAAAAAAGAAAAGAGAGAAGAATAAATGTAAAAGAAAACAATAAAGAGGATATCACCACTGATTCCACAGAAATACCAACTACTATCAGAGATTACTACAAACAACTCTATGCACATAAACCAGTAAACCTGGAAGAAATGGATGAATTCCGAACACTTGCACCCTCCCAAGCCTAAACCAGAAAGAAGTTGAAACCCTAAATAGACCAAGAACAAGGGTTGAAGCTGAGGCAGCAATTAATAGCCTACCAACCAAAAAAAAAAAGCCCAGGTCCAAATGAGTTCACAGCTGAATTCTACCAGACATACAAAGAGGAGCTAGTACCACTCTTTCTGAAACTATTCCAAACAATCCAAAAAGAGGGAATCCTTCCCAAATCATTTTATAAGACAACATCATTCTGATACCAAACCCTGGCAGAGACTCAACAAAAAAAGAAAACTTTAGGCCAATATCCACGATGAACATAGATGCAAAAATCTTCCATAAAATATTGGCAAACCGATTGTAACAGCACATCAAAAAGCATATTCATCACGATCAAATAGGCTCAAGTCACCACATAAACGGAACCAAAAACAAAAACCACGTGATTATCTCAATAGATGCAGAGAAGGCCTTTGACAAAATTCAACAGCCCTTTATGCTAAAAACTCTCCATAAACTAGGTATTGATGGAATGTATCTCAAAATAATAAAAGCTAGGCCGGGTACGGTGGCTCAAGCTTGTAATCCTAGCACTTTGGGAGGCCAAGGAGGGTGGATCATGAGGTCAAGAGATCGAGACCATCCTGGCCAACATGGTGAAACCCCCTCTCTACTAAAAATACAAAAATTAGCTGGGTGTGGTGGCGTGCACCTGTAGTCCTAGCTACTCAGGAGGCTGAGGCAGGAGAATTGCTTGAACCTGGGAGGCAGAGGTTGCAGTGAGCTGAGATTGTGCCACTGCACTCCAGCCTGGTTCCTGGTGACAGAGTGAGACTCTGTCTCAAAAAAAAAAAAGATAATAAAAGCTATTTGCAACAAACTCACAGCCAATATCATACTGAATGGGCAAAAAGTGGAAGCATTCCCTTTGAAATCTGGCACTAGACAAGGAATCCCTCTCTTACCATTCCTATTCAACATAGTATTGGAAGTTCTAGCCAATGCAATAAGGCAAGAAAAAGAAATAAAGGGTATTCAACTAGGAAAGGAGGACGCCAAATTGTCTCTATTTGCAGACAACATGATAGTATATCTAGAAGACCCTATTGTCTCAGCTCAAAATCTCCTGAAACTAATAAGCAACTTCAGCAAAGTCTCAGGATACAAAATCAATGTGCAAAAATCACAAGCATTCCTACACACCAATAACAGACTTAAAGAGAGCCAAATCAAGAATGAACTACCATTCACAATTGCTACAAAGAGAATAAAGTACCTAGGAATACAACTAACAAAGGATGTAAAAGACCTCTTCAAGGAGAACTACAAACCACTGCTCAAGGAAATAAAAGAGGACACAAACAGATGAAAAAACATTCATGCTCATGGGCAGGAAGAATCCATATTGTGAAGATGGCCATACTTCCCAGAGTAATTTATAGATTCAACACTATCCCCATCAAGCTACCTATGACCCTCTTCACAGAACTGGAAAAATTCACCTTAAACTTCATATGGAACCAAAAGAGAGCCTGCATAGCCAAGACAATTCTAAGCAAAAAGAACAAAGCTGGAGGCATCATGCTACCTGACTTCAAACTATACTACAAGGCTACAGGAATTAAAACAGCATGGTACTAGTACCAAAACAGAGATATAGACCAATGGAACAGAACAGAGGCCTTGGAGGCAACACAGCACATCTACAACCATCTGATCTTTGACAAACCTCACAAAAACAAGCAATGGGGAAAGGATTCCCTGTTTAATAAATGATGTTGGGAAAACTGTCTAGCCATATGCAGAAAGCAGAAACTAGACCCCTTCCTGACACCTTACACTAAAATTAACTCCAGATGGATTAAAGACTTAAACATAAGACCTAACACCATAAAAACCCTAGAAGAAAACTTAGGCAAAGCCATCCAGGACATAGGCACAGGAAAGGACTTCATGACTAAAACACCAAAAACATTGGCAACAAAAGCCAAAATAGACAAATGGGATCTAATTAAACTCCAGAGCTCTTCTACAGCAAAAGAAACCATCATTAGAGTGAACTGGCAACCAACAGAATGGGAAAAAATTTTTGCAAGCTACCCATCTGACAAAGGGCTGATATCCAGAATCTACAAAGAGCTGAAACAGATTTACAAGAAAAAAACAAACAAACCCTTTCAAAAGCGGGCAAAGGATATGAAAAGATGTTTTTCAAAAGAAGACATTTATGAGGCCAAGAAACATGAAAAAATGCTCATCATCACTGATTATTAGAGAAATGCAAATCAAAACCACACCGAGATACCATCTCATGCCAGTTAGAATGGCGATCATTAAAAAAATCTGCAGACTACAGAAGCTGGAAAGGATGTGGAAAAATAGGAAGACTTTTACACTGTTGGTGGGAGTGTAAATTAGTTCAACCATTGTGGACGACAGTGTGGTGATTCCTCAAGGATCTAGAAATAGAAATTCCATTTGACCCAGCAATCCCATTACTGGGTATATATCAAAAGGATATAAATCATTCTATTATAAAGCCACATGCAGACGTATGTTTATTGCTGCACTGTTTACAATAGCAAAGACCTGGAACCAACCCAAATGCTCATCAGTGATAGACTGGACAAAGAAAATATGGCACATATACAGCGTGGAATACTATGCAGCCATAAAAAACCATGAATTTGTGTTCTTTGTAGGGATATAGATGAATCTGGAAACCATCGTTATCAGGTGCTTGCCTTACACGTGAAGAGTTATAATGTTATTTGAAAATAGTTGTAGATTAGTTAAGAATGTATATACTATATATTTTGGTGTAACCTCTAGAAAATTTTTAAAGAAGTATAATGGATACACTAGGAAGATAAAATTTAATTATATTAAATACTCAATTAAATCAGAGAAGAAAGGAAGGAAAAGAAAGAGGGCAAAAAAGGAAAGAACAGCTGGGTGTGGTGGCATCACCTTGTACTCCCAGCTACTTGGGTGGCTGAGGTGGGAGGGTCATTGCAGCCCAGGAGTTTGAGACTAGCCTGGGTAACACAGTGAGACACCATCACTTTTTCTTAAAAGAAAGAACAAATACAACCAATAGATAACAGTGACAAACAAGGTAGATATTAAGCTAACTATATAAATAATCATTTTAAATTAGGTAGTTTCTTTCTTTTTTTTTTTTTTTCTGAGATGGAGTGTTGCTCTTGTTGCCCAGGCTGGAATGCACTGGCACGATCTTGGCTCACTACAACCTCTACCTCCCAGGTTCAAGTGATTTTCCTGCCTCGGCCTCCTGAGTAGCTGGGATTACAGGCATGCACTACCATGCCCGGCTAATTTTGTATTTTTAGTAGAGACGGGGTTTTGCCACGTTGGACAGGCTGGTTTCAAACTCCTGACCTCAAGTGATCCACCCACCTCAGCCTCCGAAAATGCTGGGATTACAGGCGTGAACCACCATGCCCAGCCTATATGGGTAGTTTCAATTCACTGATAGGAAATTCAATTTTCAGAGTAGAGAGTGAATTGAAAAAATAAGACCCAAGTATATGCTGTCTACAGGTAATCTACTTTAAATACAAAGACCCAGGTTACAAGTCAAAGTAAACATATGGAGATTAATATTGACAGGTCTTTGTGAACCTTTGCAAGAGGTGTGGGGACATATGTCAGAAGGCAGGTAAGTCCAGCTTAGATGATTTCACATTTTTGTGTAGCAGGGCAGGAATCCAGGGGGTAATTTGTTCTCACCCAGATGACTGGACACTGTTGTTTCTTATAGTGGGGGTTTTATTGGTTTCAATGTTGCTACAGTAGTGGCTCTCAAGATGGTCCAAGGGCCAGCAGCATTTGCATCACCTGGGAACTTGTTAGAAATGCAGATTCTTGGGCTCCAACCCAGGTCTACTAAAGTGGAAGCTCTGGGGGTGGGGCCCACAATCTGTGTTTAATAAGCCTTGTGGGTGATTCTGATGCACACTCAGGTGTGAGGACCTCTGCTGCAGAGTGTGCTTATGTGAGTGTGGTCATGGATGACATTCTGGGCATTTTCAAGAATAGGTATTTATTCTCAAACATATGCTCCCTGCTACTGCTCACTATGCAGGGATGCATTCATTTCCTAGTCAAACTGGAATCATGCCATATTTATCTGAAAAATCCCTTAAACTTTGCTTCCCAAGGGTCTGTTCAAGATGAGAAGCATCCTTATCTCCCGTGGGCTTGGAAAGAAGGCAGAATGGTGGGCCCAACCCAGATCTACTTAAGCAGAATCTTCATTTTAACATGATCCTCTGAGTAAGTTTATTGTCATCTAATTAAACACTTAGGTGGTGAAAATACTCATTAAAAAGAACAAGCATTGAAAATTGAGTAAAGAAAATAAAACAACAACTGTTATTATCATAAAGGAGGTTCTGGACTGGGGTTTTGGGCATAGCTGGAGGGTGTAAGATGCCTCCTGAAAAAGAAAGCCAAAGGAAATTTCCTTCTAAAAGATGACAATGAAGAAATCTTCAACCAGCCAGAGCCAAGAGGGATTGGGAGGCTTTGAAGTGTTTGTTACTCCGTTGAGTATGAATCTTGTAAAAAATTATTTCTAAAAATTTTATTATTATTGTTATATTAGAGCAGAGTCTCACTGTCACCTAGGCTGGAGTGCAATGGTGCGATCATAGCTCACTGCAGCCTCAAATTCCTGGGTTCAAGTGAGTCTCCTGCCTCAGCCTCCTGAGTAGCTGGGACTATGGGTGTGTCACACTTGGGTAATTTTCCTGTAGAAACAAGGTCTCACTATGTTGCCCAGGCTAATCTTGAACTCTTGGCCTCAAGCAATCCTTCTTCCTTGGCCTCCCAAAGTGTTGGGACACAGGTATGAGTCTTGACTGTGTCGAATTCCTTACTTCTTGGATTTCATACAACAATTGAGTGTCCTTTGGAGAAGAAGTGTGCAGTAGATGAAACTCGGTAAGGCTGTTTCTCTAAGACATGAAGGCATCAATCATACAGTTTTGACACTTCTGCAACAGAACATAAGACGAAGTGAGGGAGACGGCTGTGCAGTGTTGGTATCTTGGGGGTTCCAGGTTTCAGTTGTAATAGGAGAGGGCCACATCCTGGACACGTCTGGCAGGGAACAGAAGAACAATAGCAGCACTCACATGAAACTGACATGTTCATAAATACACCTGAGATATACCTGGGGACTCCAAAAACTACTTAAAGGGCCCTGAAGGGGCATGAACCAATGAAAATGAGTCATTTCTGCTAATCTCACGACATGAGCTCCCATAGACTATGATGGGCTGGACAAAGCCCTATCCACTTTTGAAGATAGTTTTGTGCCTCTCTCATTCATATCATTCCTTCTACTAGCTTTTTGTTTAGCCTGAAGAAGCATTTAGAACCCACACAAGAAAAAGCCTAGGGAGCAATGTTATGTAGGGGAGTTTCCTTTGCCCGGTGATTTGTTTCTCTGCTCGACGTTCTTTATTTTGGGAAATGAGTGGCCTTAACATCCCCTTGAAGTAGATAATGTGGGACAGCATATTTGTTGCTTTTTGTAACTTCCAGACCTATCCTCCTTGAATAATATAGTCTGAAATCAGTTGAAATTCAAACTACCAGATTCTCAGTTTTTATCTCATATTTTACAAGTTTCCCCCTAAGAATGCTGTGTTTGCTTTCCAGAACTTTGGTTGTGTACTTTATTTCCTTTATGGAAAGACCCAGGTAAAGTTTAAATTACAGTTAATTGATAGAGGGTAAGGAGGCAGATAGAAAAATTTAATTAGTTTCCAAGCAAAGTAATGTGTATTAATCTGACTTTCCACACTAGAGACTACATATCTTAACTTAAGGTGCACACAAAATGTTCTGTTTAAACATCCAGGGTCTGAGTCATTTTCTCAGCTTATTTTCTGTCTAGACAGAGAAGAGAATCAAATCCCTTTTTAAATTATAAAATTGTTCTGTGATTAGATATCATGTCTGTCTCCTGAGGCATGTACGGAACTTCATAAATAGTTAACACCTGTTAATGCCTGAGTATTCAGAGAGCAGATGCTGTTGGTGTCCCCTGCTACACACCCTCAGTCCTCCTCTGCTTTTGGCTGTAGTGTGTGGGAGCTTTCAGGCAGAGCACCTCCCACCACTAGCACTCATGGATCTCAGCTCTTTCTGCCTTATGTGTTTATCCAATGTGCAAGGAGCTCAATCAGCCGACACGCTGTAGCCTGGAAGTGTCAAGGAGCCGAGGCTTCTATCATAACCAACGACCACTGGGACAGGTGTCCAAGGATAAAGGCCCTAGCCCCGCCCCTCACCCTCTCAGCCTTGGACCAGTGATTTTTTTTTTTTTGAGATAGGGTCTTGCAGTATCACCCAGGCTGGAGTGCTGTGGTGTAACTTCAGCTCACTGCAGTCTCTGCCTTGCAGGCTCAACTGATCCTCCCACCTCAGCCTCCTGAGTAGTTGAGACTACAGGTGTGTGCAACCATGCCTGGCTAATTTCTGTAGAGACAGGATTTCTTTATGTTCATGTTGCCCATGTCTTCAATTCCTGGGCTCAAGCAATCTGTCTGCCTCAGCCTCTAAAAGTACTGGGAATATAGAAGTCAGCCACCACATCCGGTCCCTGGACCAATGATTCTAAGCTGCATTTCTGCCTGGCTCCCCTAGCAGGACTGAGCCTAATCTCTCACAACATCACCGGCTCAGTCAAGCACCATCCATTGGTTCTCCCTCCTTCCCTATCTCACTCCTCTCTTTTTTCTCTCTCTGGCTTCCTGGGATAACATCTCAAATAAACCACTGGACCCATGTGTATGGTAGACACATGTGTATGGTAGATGCACCTGAGAGGGATAACTGAAGTATACATTGAGAATGGCAGACACACCAGAATGTGTGTTGGAAGTTCCAAGTGTGGCCAACCCGGCCATTCATTCGTTATCTATGAGGAACATCTGAGCTGCTAGCCCATCCCATCCTGAGGAATAGGGGCCATACAGGGGATTGAGGCCCTTAGTTTTGGGGGGTCAATGAATGTTGCCAGGTGGAGGTTGTTAGAGCAAGAGTGTTAAGTGAAAATTTTATATAAACTTCTCACTTTCCACAGGCAGCAGCCATTCTCCTGTCCAGCCTGCAGCCTCTGGGCTGCCCTGTATGTAAGTTCCCCTCCCTAAATCTTGTGTCTCTTTTGCTGGCTTGGGATCATCTCCTCAGCCTCTCAGACCTGATGCTGTCCCTAGTGGAGTTAACAGGAGTCTGTCATAACATCATGTCCTTGACTCAGGTTCCACTACTGGGAGCTTAAATGAAGAAGAGCTGATTAATTTGCAGGGCTACACAGGCATCTCTAACATAAATTTACCTTTCATTAGTACTTGCCCATAACTATTTATTATTCAAGCAGTACCTTTGAGAGCTCCATGTGCTAGGCAAGAACTTTAGGACTGAACAAAACAGACAGAATCCCTGCCCTAATGAACCTTCCCCATACCTCTTATATCTCAAATAACCATAGGAGTTAGATGTTGTTACCCCCATTTCATGTATAACTAATGTGATTGAAGATTTCTGTCTCTTTGGGAATACAAACATAAAGCAGTTTATTTTTCCAAACACTGCTACATCTTCTCTGTGGATAAGAGTGTCTTCCGATTTCTTCCCAATGTTACGTTTCCAGCCACTTTTAGTGATGAAACAATCTCATTGCAGTTTTGTGACTCACTCTCACGCATTTTAAAACTTCAGCCTCATGATCAGTTCCAGTTTCCTCCTCTTCGTCTTGGCTGCGTGTTGGTAACATCTGCAGAGCTTTACAAGTCCTGACACTTGGGCTTGCCTACCAGAGATGCTGGGGTTTAAGCCTCCAGGTGACTCTAATGTGATCCAACATTGAGAACCCTGCTCAAGGGGTCTGGAGGATCAAATGGGGAAGAGATGGCTTTCACTTTTCTTTCTCCTACCCTGTTCTCTGCTTATTTCCCTAATAACTGGAGCTTGTTTCTCTCCTTGACACTGGTCACCACCATTGGTTTTGCCTGTTCCCTGACTCAGAGGGGATGGGCAGTGTCCAACAGGGCCACTGATGTCTCTCAGTGCCTCTGGGAGGGTGCTTGTCTGACTTTCCTGCCCCTTGAGCTAACCTCAAGTCTGTGGCTTCCAGTTTTATCCAACATCCCTGAGAGCTCTAAGCTCAACCAATCTCCATGGCCTAAACCTGGGGTCTGTGGACACGGCCAAGCCTATTCTCTGTATCTCTTGTGACTCAGAAACTGTAGAGGCCATTCCCAGCACCACCTTCTGCCTTGTTATCCTACCAGCAGTCCCAATGTTCAGGAAGATACCAAGGTCAGTGCTGTATATCTCCTCCTTGCGGTCTCCTTCACCTTGCGGGCTTTATGGAGGACTCTTTTCCAGGTTGGCTAAGGAAAATTATGCCTCTCACCATAAGCATTTTTTTGCTTCTTTCCCCACTCTGAGACCTTGTTCTCCCTTCTTCTCCTAGGCATGTGAGAGGGGTGTTGGTGACTGTGGAAGCGAGTTCTAACTGAAATGACCCCTCTCAGCAAACCCTGAATTGGTTACTGTGGGCAAGTTTTGAACAAGGGCTCTTGTTCTCTTTGGATCTTAGCCGTGGGCTTTGGTTGCCAGTCCCAGGAAAACAACATCCCACAAAGCCCCTAATTCCATCCTGTTACATCATGGTGAGGAGGAGCAAGCAGGACTGACAGATCCAAGCTTACTGTCAAGGTCAACAGCTCTACTAGCATACCTGAACCCTGAGCCTGGTTTCTCTCCCCTTTGTTCTCCAACAGGGGTAGAGAGATCCCAGGGCCAAGTGGGGCAGAGGTAAAGCTAATGTTCCTTCTTGAAATATCAATTTTTGAGGAAAAGTAATTGTTTTTGCGTTTATACAAATATGAGTTGTATAAGATAGGATGTAACATTTTGATCGATTTGAAAGAAGTCATGAGGAATTTTCTGCTGTGGCAGCTTCTCTGAACTCCACCATCTGTGTGGGTGATCTGGTGGGGGAAGTAAGCCTTGATCCTATTTACTCTTCTCTGCACCTACAATGAGAAAGTTTTAGAAGTGATTCTTTGTAGCATAGAGTTTAGTAGCTCCTCCAGTGCTGGGAAATGCCAGTTTATGTGCCCTTCACTTCTTGGGAGCACTTAAAAAAAACACTATGAAATGAATGTGTGTGTGTGCATGTGTGTGTGTGTGTGGTGGTTTGTGGTTGTGGCAAACAACTTAGCTGATAGAGATAAGAGTGAACAAAAGGGGTT